CTAAAGTGGCCCGTTGGCGGACTTGTACCGCCACCCGGCAATCGGTACTGAGGTATTCCTTAACGCGTGCACAATCACTTGGACGGGAAGAAGTTGTATACTGGATACAACAACTTCCGGAACAAGCGTTTGCCACGGCCCTCGCTCAGTAGGTATAGGATGGTGCAAAGTGGATATCTTGACACTCGGTGGTACGCCTCGGTGGACCATTTTTCCTCATTCGTGTCCCTACACCTTCTTCTATCCACACACGACACACGCATTACCGTCATTGCAGTACAATTATAACGGCAGCCAATATCTTATTTCTGATGTTCTATTCCACTCAACCTACTCCAATAATAATATAGGTAACTAAGGAGAATGTTGCAACATTCAAATAAATGAAGATACAGTAGGATAGAGAATAAGAATAAACTGAATCAATATGTCAAGGTAACGCTAACGATGTAGAAGAAGCTGTTCAGCTTGTTTCTTCATACTATTCACCGGCAGATTTTCCAATATTTTAATAGAATTTAACGATCGACAGAAAAATGTACTATTGTAAAGTGGGATTTCTAGGCGTTTCTTATATCTGAAGCCGAAATCCGTCCTTCTACAAACTTGTTATAAAGATAGGGAGGCGATTGTGTAACCATTATTTTATGGGTCAGAGCATTTGATATTTGTAAGCTTCGTCCATAGATAACCAACTAATGTAAAATGAAATATGATCATACTTCTTTAAACTAAAAACAAATCTACAACTGCTTTGCAGTTTTTGCATCATGTTCTTAGTGGCAGCATCGAGGCACGAGTAATAAACTACACAGTAGTAAGAGACTATAGGAAAGATTAGCGTCTAATATAGTTTTTTCCCAGTTTTAGAATTCAATATACAGGGTGGCGCATCGAAAACGAAACAGACGCATTAACAGGCAGCTCAGTTTTTTTTCTAAACGCTCAAACCCGTCGATTTTGTTTTCGAGCTGGACATAAGTTTGGCAAAAATCACGTTAGCACGTACAGCCCCTAAGCGGGGGTGACACCACTCCCAAAATCTTAAATGCAAAGGGGGTCGAGTGATACCTTATTTTAAAGGTCATATTTATAATGATATAAAATTGATGTACTTCAGTAGTTTTAAGCTTGAATAAACGTAAATAAAATCAGTTCTTGAAAAATGTTTGAAGTCCTGTGTTGTACAAACTTGGGCTCAAATTTATGGGCAGCCAATTTTTGTGAGCAGAAAACAGCGCAATGATGCGAAATATCATCAGCGGAATGTACATCAACATTTGTCAAAAGATCAGCTAAACAAGTAGTAGTACAAATTATATCAATACATGTTTCAGAAACAGACGTAATCCGAGTAGTGGCGCTATAAAAGAAAGTACACTGTCTAGATAATCAACAAATAAGACTGCTCGACTGGAAGGTGCTCTGTAAATTATACAAAGTAAGATTTTGTATCTAGATATGGCCAACTCAAACAAAAGCTCAATCCTATCAGGTGGAACAAATTCATCAAATACCTGTTTACTAGGAATATGTTCACGAATGTATATCCCAACCCCTCCCCCTCTACCTACACGGTCCATATGTATGAACTTAAAACCGGGTATCTGAACAGCTGTTGACGTTTGATCGTCCAAGTCTCAGTAACGCACATCACATCATGGTTGTCAGAAAAAACTGAATCAGGATAGGACAAACCAACATCTCTATAGGCAATAATTTTACCCCTGATAAAGTCGCTAACAGTGATAATTTGGACGTCTTCGAACTTATGCTTAACACTAGTAAATGAAAGGGCAATAACTAAAAATATATGTACTACTCAGCTCTCAGAAACTGCTTTCCTCACAAAAACTAAGAGATAACATTTAAACAAAGGTAAACATAAACGTTGACAAAAACAAGTTGAAGGAATTATTTTTTCTGGATGTTACACTTCTAATGTCACTGAGTATATACTGGGTGCGCCATCTATTACTTTTTTTTACCTATAAGTTTATGTGTTACCATGTGAGTCAAAAGTCATGTGGTATGCACAAATGAACTGTCAAAGGTATGCCATTTATAGTCATGGATTCGTTTACAACACAACAACGCATTTTGGTTATCCAAACTTATTACGAAAACGGTCGAAATATAAAAAATACTTTTCGCAAACTTCGCACTAGTTTTGGCCGACATGGACGCCCTCCAGAGCCTGGAATTCGGCGCTTTTTTGTTAATGGGATGCTGGAAAGGGAAGACGGATTTTCGGCCAAAGTGCTCTTGTCTGATGAGGCTCATTTTCACCTCAATCGGTACGTAAATAAGCAAAATTGCAGATTCTGGGGGGCTGAAAATCCACACCAATATCATGAACAACCTCTCCATCCTGAAAAAGTGACTGTTTGGTGCGGCTTATGGGCGGAGCAACGGCTCACACATCTCGCCAAACAATCGCCTCATTGCACACGAAATTTCAAGACCGCATAAATTCACGTTGGCCCCCGAGATCGTGCGACTTAACACCTCTTGACTATTTTCTTTGGGGATTTTTTAAAGGAAAAGTGTATGCGAATGGTCCCCGTACAATTCAAGACCTAAAGCGCAATATTCGGACTGAATTGTGGCCATAAACCAGATTATTCTGGGAAAAGTCATTGAAAATTTTGATGCTTGGATTTTGACCTGCAAACGAAGCCGCGGTGATGTTATTTTTCATACATAAATCTCATAAACCAACCTTCATTTATTAATAAAAAAAATCGACTTCACGTCGTAAAAAGCGTGTTGATTTTTCATATAGAAAAAAAGTAATAGATGACGCACCCTGTACATATCTATGTCCCAGTCAGGAGGCATACATTACGTTATAAAGCGGCGACTGTCGGGAGCCAAACGGGTTCATTACCGTTACGCCTTAACCATGCCGGTGCAACACTCTTCAGAAGATCTTCTACTTACAATCCAGTTATATCACACAACAGATTAGGCCAGGATCATAAGATTATCCAGTTTTTCCTGAATTTTCAAATAATAGTTGAAAATTCATTTACAAGAATTACAGAACAACCGCTAGCTTAAGAATATAGGAGGATAGGATACCATGATAATGATGATAAACGTGAGAAAACAGCAATCCCGCTTAACAAGCGTTCGAAGTACTATCCTGTACCTTTTCACTTTTATTACGAGAGTAGAATATAAGCAACTTAACCAGAGCTTCAATGTCAGGGTAATTTCAAAGCTGCTTACTAGGAAGGGTCGGTGCCAAGCCCATTTTTGGTAAAATCCTTTTGGGTACCTTCCATGTTCTACTGACTCATGGCAAGCACAGCTCTACTGTCTATTCATTTTGATAATTAGCTGTCTTGATACTGATCATAAAACAATATAACGAGGGCCATGATATTTTTCAATTATATTATTAGAAATTATAACGCACTGCATGAAAGTCACGCCCGGGTTCATGATCAAGGGAACGGTAGCTTCCTACAGATATGATTGTTACGAAAATCAGCCCTGAAACCAAGATATCACGTTGCCATGTCAATACCCAAAAGTTCCGACGTTACTTCTGATTCAGACATAACCGAGCAGCATGACAACTTTAACAATCCCTACACACATCTTGCCATGAGATACTTTCAAACTCCAGCGGATGCCGTAACCTTTTTTTTACTATGTTGATCACTTACTAGAAATTTGAATTTCTCCTTCCTAATGGTAGAGTGCCGATTTCTAGGACAAACCATTTTTCTGCTGATGTTTGGTTGTGCGTGGGTTGCTTCGTTAACTTCCAGATTCTGGTATTTAGACCCCCAAATACCAAATTATGGAGTAGCATCTTTTATTTGGTACCTTACGTTTAGTCGTTTTGGTTTGCGTGCTACCCCGTCCATTTTCTAATGGGCTTTTAACCTTAAGCGTAGAAAGGCATTGCGGAGAACCACCATTCTTACTCCTTCAGCTTTGTTTTTTAGCCGCCTGGTAGCTGTTTCACAGCCGATTTTGCTTCCCCTTGACAAAAACCCTGATTTGAACTGCTAAAATATCATTTTCATTGGGTATTTTATAGATATTGATATATTGATTGTTGCTGACTGAAATTCTTAGAGACCTGATTTTGTTTGGCATTTTTCGTATTCAAAAAGGAAAGAGGAATCACACCACCATTTCCTCATGTTCATAGAAAAAGGTGTGGCATCGCATGGGGGAACGGTAGCATCCTACCGCATGGAAGTCCGGTCCAATATGAATACCTTAATAATCTGGTGCGTTGACAAATGTCAATTTTTTAATTGTTACGAAAGGCAGTCCAGAAACTAGGATATCATGTTGCCCTGCCAATACCCAAAAACTCCGATGTTATCTCTGATTCAGAAATAACCGGGCAACATAACAACTTTAAAGTAACAATCCCTATACACATCCTGCCAAACTCCAGCTATTGCCACGAGAGGAAGCTAGACGGTCACACAGACCTAGGATATCACGTCGGCCAATAGCCGTTGTGTAAGGTGATCGTGACTGCTATTACTACGTCCTCTCCTTTTGTTGCCTTGGGGTTCAGTGCAAATACTTTTGGCTTCATTTATTATGTCATCAATTTTATTTCTCACATCGACAATACATTTTTCAAAATTATCGATAGTCGTTTTAACTTGCGCTGGCTCGGTTTTTCTCTTCTGCAACTGTTTGAACAAGATGTCGACGTGAGGCATGACATGATGAAAAGATGTCAACCAAAACACGAAAACAGAATCGTTTAACATACGGCGAATACCGCAAGCTGCTTTGCAAACGGTTTCAGTAGTAAAATTTTCTTCTATTTCTTCCATGCATTGAATGAGTGATTCTCTGTTCTCAAACACTACATTTTTTGTTCGAATATTAAAATTTCCTATTAATGGATCTACGACGCTCAAAATATGTCTTGTGAGAGATCAGCGTCACATTTTTCGGGATATAATTCCAAAAACGTTCTACTGCTTCGCCGTTAAATACGTATCTGAAAATTGTTACCAGTTGGGTTTTCCCTGAAATGTTGTTTCATCTGCTATTATCGCTAAATATGAGGCTCTGTTAATCTGTTTTATTATTTCTTCATGACAAACTTCAAGAATACAATCCAGTAGATCGTTTTGTATTTCTTTCGAAGTTCCTTTAAATATTGAAGCATTTTTTATGTGTTTGTTTAAGGTTGTATCAACCTCAGCAGAAAAATTAAATAGTCTACAAAATATTCCCGGGTTTTGGGAGCTCTCTGTTTCGCAATAAATAATGATAAAATTACTACTGCCTTTTTCTGTTAAGACAAAAGTTTAGGCAGTTCTGCAGCTCTGCAGAACTTAAGGACCAGCCGCCCCTGTATGCACTCCTTTTTGCTTCAGAAGCTACCGTTTTTCTTCAATCGCATGCTTTTTTCCCATCTGTCGTTTTTAACATTTTTGATCCGGCAACACTGCCGTGGCTCGTCCTCCGAAGCACAACTGTCATAGCGCGAGCAGTTGTACCGAAACTTCTTCGGTCAGACAAGAGAAAAACGGGGCTGGTGAATGGGACCGAACATAGCCGAAGACCGACCTGTATAATGCCCCAGCAGGTGCTACTGTCCGATTTATAATGAATGCACGGAGCCACGGATGCGGCGGCACAGGTATTTAATGCGTCGAGGGTTATGTAAGAAGGACAGGTTGTTGGGATAATGGGGTCTACGACGAATCGGGGCACCTGAAAATGGGAGCTGATGAGGCTGATCACCAAACAGAATCTGCCATCGAATGGAAAAACGTAATAACGACAATGGGACAATTATCACTGGACAACAAATTTTAGTTTTTTAATTGTATCTTGTGGGAAAAGTGCACTTCTTTGTTAATTTTGGGGTGCTGAATCCAAAAATGACAATGAAATAAAAAAATTAGTTGCGGTTTAGAAAAAAAACTTTTTATTTTTAAGGATATATTAAAAAAAGTAACAAGATTCATATACTTATAAGAATCACTATATGCGCTGTCTTTTTGCTGTCCTTTTATGGATCGTTTCTGGAGCGTCTCTACCAAGAGTCCAACAGTAGTCTGCAAGCATGGAAGGATTCCACTTTCCCTGGTACCTTTTTTCCATTGTTGAAATATCCTGATGAAAACGTTCGCCGTGCTCATCACTTACGGCTCCGCAATTGTCAGGAAAAAAGTCCAGGTGTGAGTGTCGGAAATGAATCTTAAGAGACATATTACAGCCCATCTTTTGATACGATGACAGCATATTTTTGACAAGGGTTTTATAGTTGTCAGCTTTTCTATTTCTCAAGAAATTAGTGACTACCAGACGGAAATCATTCCAAGCAGTTTTTTCAATACCTGTTAAAGTGTTTTCAAACTGTGTCTCTTTCAAAATATTTCGAATCTGTGGCCCAACAAAAATACCTTCTTTAACCTTTGCCTCACTTAGTCTTGGAAATTTCTGACGCAGGTATTGAAAAGCTAACCCATCTCTATCTAATGCCTTGACAAAATTTTTCATTAGGCCCAACTTGATATGCAGTGGTGGTAATAAAATTTTTTTCGAATCTACTAATGGCATATGCTGTACATTTTTTTGACCTGGCTCTAGGAATTGACGAACAGGCCAGTTTTGTCTGGTGTAATGAAGTGCCTTTGCCCGACTGTCCCATTCACACAAAAAACAGCAAAACTTTGGGTAGCCTAGCTGCAGCCCAAGTAAAAGTGCAACAACTTTCAATTCGCCACAAATATGCCATTGGTGTTCATCGTATTTTATGCATGTCAATAGGTACTTCATATTGTCATATGGTTCTATCATGTGAACTGCATACCCTACAGGAAGAGATGGTAAAATATTTCCAATATGCAATAACACTGCCTTTAAACTCAATGTTGAACTGTCTATAAACAATCTCCATTCTTCTGGGTTATAGTTTATATTTAAAGCCGCCAGTAAGCCGTTAATGTTACTGCAGAAAACCAAGTTATTCTCCATATTGAAAAATGGTTCTAAGTCTTAACAAGTTCCACTGCTGCAGTCTTGATCCAAGTAACTCTGCCTTACATTTTGGAAGTTCTAAATCTCTTACAAGATCATTTAATTCTGACTGTGTTATTTTGTGCGGTTGGTGGCATGACGTGCTCGGTATAAAATCAGGATCTCTTGACGTTGATGGCATATCTTCTTCCTGACGAATCACTCGATCGCCATGATCTGATTCGTTTTCAGATTCGCAAGTGTAGGATTCTGGGGGTTTTGGAATAGGATTTTCGTCACTGTGAGGCACAGGTCTCATCGCAGCTAGTATGTTTGGGTAGTTAATAACCGATTTTTTTTCTTGGGCATACCTGTATCTTGTCCAACACAAGGTACCATGCAAAAGTAACAATCATTAATATGATTTGTAGGCTCTCTCCAAACCAATCGGACAGCAAAGCGCATAGATCGTTTTTTGCCATTTAACCAGGTCCTCAGACTTGAAGCACATGTATTACAGCAGATGTGGGGTGCCCACTGTTTGTCTTGATCACCTAGTTTACAACCGAAATAAAGCTGATATGCCTTTGTTATTAGTGGAGTAACAGACCGTCTCTGAGACGCAAAAGTCACATCACCACACACGTAACAAAACTGATCTGGATTGTTTACACACTTTCGAGACATCTTGCATGAACGCTATCAGCCAACTGAGGAAAAATGCCTAATATAAAACAATATAATGTACACGTATGTATAACGTAACACAATCATGCCGATTACATCATCTTTCCTTGCCGAATATAAAAATGTAGCACGTGCATTCTTGTAAATTACAGTATATTAACACTGTCACAGCAGGAACACATATAATTACCGTATCTCTAAAACTTGAACTAATATTGAAAAAATAAGTTTCATTCCGGTTTTAGCACATTAAAAATAGTAATATTTTGTTGATTTTATTTAGGATATTTTTTTGGCTGTTGGTCAGTGTTATGCTCCCGCTAGAGCGCTAGACAGTGGAGGTTAACCTATCAAAAGTACGAGGGTTGTTTAATATCTGGAAGAAGCGCGAAAGAACTGGAGCAAGCTCCGCTGCACACTTGATCAATACGACAGGTGTCAAGACCGGACCAGAACCTTTGTTGATGTCGAGCGACAAGAGCACCCGTCTTACGGTCTTGTACCTTAATGTTACACCCCGCATAGTGTGGGGAACCCTTTGAATCGACGGCACTCGGGCGTTGGGGGGGGGGGACGTCCATGGTGGAGTTGGCAGCAAAGATCTTGGCAAGCATTTATGCCTTAGCCTTTGAGTCAGTTACAATCGTTCTATTCTGACACGTAAGTGGTGGAAGGCTGCTCTGTGAGAAGTTCCTTTCAATCTGCTTGGCCAACGTCCAGAAAGACCGACTGCCATTGCGCTACGACATTATGACTTTATCAATCACTTTCAAGATTCGCTTGGTTTGTTATATCCGAAATATGACAAAATGATTTGCACTGGTGATTTTAATATTGACTTGCTTGACAAAAACAGTAATGCTGTGAATTTATTTGAATACTTTTGGTTTGCGTCAAATAGTAGCTTCACCGACCAGATTAGGAGTCTCCTCCATTGCTAGATCTCTCTGATGATATTCCAAGTACTTGTGATGTTGTAATATACCAAATTTGTGTGATCACAGTTTGATATCTATAGCCCTTGAATATGAGGTAGGAACCAAACAACCTGTACTACGTAGCTACAGAGATTTCAAAAATATCAACCAAGAATCTTTTATGACTACTCTGGATGAAGTAGACTTTATGCAGATAATTTATTGTCAGGATATAGATGCGAAATTAGATATATTTAATCAATTAGTTTTAGAGCTATTCAAATTTGCACCCTATCGAATGGCAAGGTTTACGATAAAACCAGCTCCGTAGCTGACAGATAACATTAAATTTCTAATGAAGCTTAGAGATGACAAATTCACGTATAGGAGATCAAGGTATGATCAGAAATGGGAGGAATACAAAAAGTAACGTAATATAGTAAAATTACCAACTGAAATGCTAAAAAGATTCATTTGGAACATAAAATTAGCAGTACGAACTATAAGACTATGGAAAGATTTGGAAGCTATGAACTTTGGCAATAAGACACCCAGGTCATCTATCCCAGTAGATTTAGCTGATGTTGACGAGATGAACCGGTACTTTATCTCTTTATCTAGTGCAGGTATAGAACCTGATGCTGATAAACTTTCTTTTTATAAGAATAATGTCAAACCTAATGTATCCCTCTTTGAATTCGCGTTGGCGTACACAGATCAGGTGAAAGATACTTTGCTCGGCTTCAAAACCAAAGCGTTTGGTGCTGATTTGATAAATATCGAAATGCTGTTGTATTTCTGCCCCAAAATTATTCCTCTCATTACACATATCATTAACGAATGCATATTGCGTCGCTATTTTCCTTTTTGCTGGAAGCACGCTTTGATTGTGCCTTTGCCTAAAGTTGCTCAGCCATCAGAGCTCAAGGATTTGCGTAATATCAGTATATTGCCAACATTGTCTAAATTGCTTGAATCAATAATGGATGTTCAGATAAGAGAACACTTAAGAACGAATAACCTCATTATAGATACACAATCAGGGTTCCGTCAGGCGGATAGCTGTGCAACAGCATCGCTGGGAGTGGTGACAAAGGTAACCTGACTGCCTTAGTGCTCTTAGATTGTACGAAGGCATTTGACAGGATACATCATGACCTGTAGTAGGAATGATGTATCAAATTTTAGACCTATATCAATATTGTGCAATTTTTCAAAAGCTCTAGAGATATTAATATATAACAGACTATATCATCATGTCAGCAGAAAAATATATGTTCAACAACATGGTTTCATGAAAGGGCGCTCAACAGTATCAAATCTGATGAACTTCACACAGACCATAGCAGAAAACATTGACAGAGGATTACAAACAGATGTGGTCTACACAGACTTCTCCAAGGCTTTCGACAGAGTTGATCACAGGATGCTATTGCATAAGCTGAAATCTCATGGATTATCCGATCCTTTAATACAACTATTTAAGTCCTACCTCACTGGAAGAAATCAATTTGTGATGTTTAATGGCATCAGATCGTTCGAAGTATGTAGCCAATTCCGGAGTGCCACAAGGCAG